AATTGAGCATCAAGGCCTGCAGTGTGAATGTAGCCTTAGTCAGCCTTCATAATGTCCATCTCCACTCCATTTATTATCTTAAATTAGATGCACCTGTTTGAGGTCGTTAGCTGCATAACAACACTTGTCCGGCCCATACAATCAGTATGAATCCAACTACAAACATGGCCAAGACCGAAGAGCTGTACAAAAACACTGGAGACAAACTTTTACAGCTCTACAGGGCTGGATAGGGCTTCAGGGAAATAACCAAGCAGGTCAACTGTTGGATCAATCATTAGAAAATGCAAGAAGTTAAACATGACTGTCAATGTCTGTGTGGAGGAGTGGGCCAAAATCCCTCCTGCAGTGTGTGCAAACCTGGTGGAAAAACTACAGGAAACGTTGGACCTCTGTAATTGCAAAGGCTACTGTACCAATTATTAACATTGATTTTCTCAAGTGTTCAAATACTTATTTGCAGCTGTATCATAAAAATAAATATTTTAAAAAATCATACATTGGGATTTCTGTTTTTTTTATCTTTTTCACAGAGAACATGCAGCTACAATGATAATTCCAGCCCCTTAATGATTTCTAAGGGGGAGAACTTAGAATTAATAGGAGGGTGTTCAAATACTTATTTCCCTCACTGTATTTCTCGCTCCACAAATGGACATTTTCCAAATAGTTACTCTTCAGTAGAACTGAGAACAAGTTAATCGCCATTGTGCAGCTTGAATCTACCAAATTAGGCAAATTCAAATGTTTCCATTTGTCGCTGTGATCCACCTCTGCACAACAACCAGAGCAAACCCTCTCTTCATCCTGAACAGACATTGCCAGGTGGATCATTAACCAGACACATTACAGTAAAGTTGCATTCAAGAACCTCAGCCTCTCTACTTTGCATTCATGTCACAACCTCTACGTGCCTAAATGAGGGGAAAGATGTGCTTGAACTCATGGTTAGAAGACAGAATGTACCTTCTGAAAACTCTCAAGTGAAGAAACTGCTTTTCTGCACATGTCACTTAATGTAATCACCTACGATTTTATTGTTCCAAAGTAGACAGACTTTATTTAGACCAAAATGCAAGCTTAATCCCGGAAAATGGCTCTTGTTCTTTGCTGGAGGCAGTCTGATGGAAAATTTAAAGGAACAAGAACGTCCTTGCATCAATAATTCATAGGATGTTGCTGATGTCGTGTTACATTTTAACATTTTGATCTCCATGTGAAACTAAGGTTAAGTTGTGAAGACATGGGTATACATAGTAATGGCACTGAATTACTTTTTTTTAAACTCTTGGTGAATAAAAGTAAACGTCTAAAAACGATTTCCACTCATTGTGCTAATTTAGCCCTGCTCTTTTTCTGGCCAATATTCCCTCACTCAACCTGTTTGTACCCACAGCAATTAGCCGAGGGGTGAGAAAGAACTATTGACCACAGTAATCTACAGTTTTATCAGGTAGATGGTACTGGAGGTGAGAGCTGAACAAGAAGAGAAAAGGGAGTACACTGTTATGAATCAATGCAGATTTTTCATCAACTGTGGTTGCAGAGAAACCATCTTACATTTCGTACCAAGAGGACACATTGATTCAGTGGTAGAAATTGAGCTCCTACCCATTACAAGACCATATATATGTGGGTCTTTCTATTAATTATATATATGTGTACGGTATATATACCGTATATATTGACCATTGGTCAATACAGCAGTATTCAAAAAACAAAGAGCCTCTGTCTGAAATAACAAAATTTAGCATAATCTGAGTTACTCTGTCTTTAGGTAACGAGACATTTGCATTATAAAAACAAACTATTTTTTACTCACTAAACTTTTCCTCAATATTTTTGTAGAATTGTTTTCAAGTTGTGTGATTTGGGGTTTTATTGTATAACATCATTATATGATTTTCTGGAAATGAATACATCTTCCTGACAGAACTGGTAGGAAGGATTGAGGTCTTTTTGTAGCCTTGTTTACATTATACTAGTTCATCTCTGCACACATTTTCTTTTGGGCTAAGATCAGGGATTAATGATGGCTACAGCTTTGTTGACTTTATCATCATTTGGCCACTTTATAACTACTTTGGTGATTCACTATTTTGTGTTATTTTTCATTTCAAAGACTTTTTCACCCAAAGTTTTACCTGTGTAATGTCTTGAGATGTTGCTGGAATATTTTCATATTAAGTCCATTCCTTGTAATGCCATCAATTTGAGAGATGCACCATTCTTTCCTGAGAAAACAAACCTACAACATGATGCTGCCACCCCTGTACCTCACAACTGTGATGTGTTCTCAGGCTTGCAAATTCTCACCTGTTGTTCTAAATGTAATAAGCACTCTTATGACTAAACGATATAATTTGATATTGTACACTGAGATCCAGATGTTTATGCTGATATATGAAGAAATAGGCTTCTTCCTCTCTGAGTGGCATTCCGGGCTCTGGGAATTCTGCCAGATAATCAAGATATATGGAAATCAATTATCTTCTGAGTATGTTGTGTGATTTCTTTTTCATTTTCTCTTGGTGTCACACAAGGTAACTGTGTGTTTGAGGTGTTTTCTCCAAATAAATTAACAGGGATTAACCTCAAATCACAAGTTTACCAGGCCATCCTATCATCATCTGAGCTTTTCTACATGATCTAAAGGCTTAGTCATTTTAGTGTTTTTAAAACTCAAAATTTCAACATAGTGAGGAATATAGACGCTCATTATTTTGGTATTTACTGACCTAAAGCGGGAAATGTTTAGTCACATTAAGGCTATAAGGAAAATAATGGTTCTACGCTCTAAAGCTTTAACTTTTGGTTTTGATTGTACCAAGGCTTAAAAAGAGTTCCCAACAATTGTTAGAGGAATGAAAGAAGGTTTCTACACCTTGCCCACAGAAGAGCACATTAGATGTTTTAATATCAAAAGTAGTGAAAAGACTATATTCATATGGTGTACATTTTGAGCTAAAATGCCATGGCCTCACAGCATGGCGGTACTGGGAAGGGGAAGCACCCCCTTAATCTGGTCATGAATTTAAAGATTAATACATTTTATAGGTTAACATTTTTAGAAAATCCTCTCATGTAATAAGTAACCATGCCATTGCTGCATAACTCTGTTCTTAAAACTACAACTCACCAGCTGTAGCAACTGTTTATTCCAAATGTTTTGCTAAACCCTATGTATTAAAAAACAAATGTTCTTTATAACCTCATCAGAAGAGCAATATTTTATATTTTGGCAAGAAAATAATATATATTAACTTTTTTGTATTATTTTTGTTTAACAAAAAACATTCAGTTTCACTTTATCTGCTTCAATGTAAATACCCAGAATAACTATCCCTGAAATATCCTGATCTAAGGCAGGGCAACACCTTATTCTGGGAATTTGGTCAGTGACGTGTGGTATGCTGCTGCTTAACCCATTCATTAGGGTGAGTTGTCTATTGAACTGATATAGGAAAATAAAAGTAGATGAAAAAATAAACAAAAAAAGTTTGATTTTACCTTTTCATCTCAGCTTTAATAACTTTTCATTGTAGAGTCTAAACAAATATTGAGTTTCCTGCATTTTGTAATTATTTAATCATTCTTCTTTTACATACTGGTGTAATTTTAGCTATCATTAATGAGCTTTATCTTTTCTCTAATAAACAGTAGGTGTAAAACCCTTACCTGAGCAGGTTGGTCAGTGTCCTCCAACAACTTCCAGCCTCGCTCAGTGAGTGGCTGTCCGCGCGCAGTGTCCTCATCATGCCGGGAGGAGGGGACGAAAACTCTTCCTGTTTTAGGTCACTTGGTTAGGTTTACATGTGTAAACTCATTGTTTTGATTACAAAAAGCTCCCGTTACTCTGGTCCTTAACCGTGCTGCGCCCCAGACTGACTCCAAATCTCCTTCCACTCTCTGCCTGCAGGGCCCAGGGGCGCCACCAAGAGGGGAAGGTGGGAAGGGCCAAAGACCACCCTGTTAAATTGGATTTACTTATTTAATTATAGATAGAGCAAATCATATTTCACAGTTTGTTTTAAAAAAAATCATATTTAATGAGACCAAATTAGGTTATTTATATATATATATGCATATACATATTTATTTACTGTGGCTCTGCTGAGGTTTTAAAGACCGGCTGTCTTTAGTAGCAGCCCTCTAATTGTTCATTCCCATGTGTAGGTCAGGCCAGTTCAGCGAGGACACTTTTTAATACTACCTAAGGTGTCTTTTCCAGTGATAAAGGTTTTTAAGTAAAATGAAAAAGATATTTTCTCTGGCTTGACTTTGTTTCTCGATATCTTAATGGAAAACCTGTTTTCCATTGGTTTTGAACCCCTTGACTCATTTTAAATAAATCTACGTTGTTTCTGGTTTTGGGATGGATGG